ATAGCTCTATGTTAAACTTTTTGAGGAACTGCTGAACTTTATTCCAAAGCAACTGCACCATTTTATCTTCGTGCCAACAAAGTCTGAGGGTTCTAATTTCTCCCTATCCTTGCAAACACTCTTTGCTGTCCTACTCTTCTGGTTATAATCAGATGTGAAGTTGTATGTCGTTGTCATTAGTGTCCTTCGAACAGAAAATTTTTCATGTTGACCCAATTTGTCTATTATTTCTTTTGTTGCTTATGGTTTGGTGTCATATCTAAGAAACTATTGAGTAATCCAAGGTCACGAAGATTTACAGCTATGTTTTCTTCTAAGAATTGTATAGTTTTAGTTCTTACATTTAGGTATGTGAATGATTTTGACTTAACCCATGTATGTGGTGTGAAGTAGGGATCCAATTTCATTCTTCGGCATGTGGCTATCCAGTTGTCCCAGCACTGTTTGTGGAAAAGACATTCTTTCTCCATTGGATTGTCTTGGCACCCTGTTGAAAATTACAACCATAAATAGTTGTTTCTATACTCTGAACGTTATTCCATTGACCAAATTGATAAATTTTAGCTAAAAGGGATATAAATTAAAAGTAAGTCACAACTTTTGACTTTGAGAAAAGGTCATGATACAATTTTTTATTTCAAATTTTCTCAAGCATTTTCTTTCTTATATTCTAAGACTAGATCACATCAATGCACAATGACTACAGATTCATGCACAGACTGTAAACTGTGTGATTTTTTTTTTAAATACATTCCATGCAGATAGGGCCTCTAAAATAAGGCAGTTGGTAAACACCCTGGAATAATCTTTATCAAGTGTTTCTTGGGTAAAAGCTGCCTTGGGCTCTCATTTCCCATACTCCACAGGTGGTAGAGTCCATTTAGGTGCAATTTTATTTGTTACTGTTTTCCATAGCTTTTTACAATTATAGAAGCAGTCGGATATATTGTAGAAAGTTAGAAAATATGAACAAAAATTTAAAATTGAGAGTATTACGTTCTCACCACTCAGATCACTGTTAGAACTCCTTAGTACATATTCTTTCAGATCTTTCTCTATGTAAATATACACATGTGTTTTTTGTTTTTAACCAAAAAGAGATTTTACAGTTCATACTGAATTGAACCTACTCTGGCAGTCACAGTGTCCATCTGTCAATTTCAGTAAATTGTCATTTCATTAATATCCAGGCTGTATTCACATTCCCCCAATAATGTCCTTTCCGTCTGATTTGCCCAAACCAATATTCAATCCAGGACGATTGCACCTGGACATTACGGCTCTTAAGTTTCTTTAAGCCTAGCATGTTGTGTCTCACTCCTGTTTGTTTATGTGGTTTTGTGTTTGTTTTCTGTTTAGTAACACTAGCTTGTTAAAGAGATCAGGCAAGTTGTCCTGCAGAGTGTTCCAACCTCTGGATTTGTCTGCTTGCTTCCTTCAAGTAGTAGTTAATGTTTCTATGTTTCCTGTAAATTGGAAGTTACATCTAAGGGCTTGATGGATTCAGGATAAACATTTTTGGCTAGACTACACCATAGACATTATATCACACCAGAAGACACGTAACATCTGGCTGACTCCATCATTCGTTCTGCTAAGTTTGACCACTGGTGAGAGGCTGACCTTTTCCATTCTGCAGTGCCAGTTTTCACTTTCAGGCTAGGAAGTGATCTCTTTGGTTTTACTTTAGAATAGTGAAGATGTCCAGTTACCCATCAAACATCCACCTAATAGTTTTGCCACCATTTAGGTGCATTTTAAAATACAGGTCTTAAACAGAATAATTTTGAATTGGTATTCCATTCTTCCAAAACGCCCTAAAACTGAGTTTGGTATTGATTGATCTGTTGTTGGTTTTCAGCTGTCTGAATGTTTTCAGCTGGTTCTAAATGTCTACTGTTGGATATTTCCAGCTTTCTATAAAATCTCCTTTATTTCAGCCTAGACTTAAAGTAACAACAGAAAAGGCTAGCTATAAAATAAAGGCTGTGTTCTTTCTTGCTTGCTTTACCTCCTGACTTCTGCTTCCCATCCCAAAGGTAAAGAAAATACTTGGGTGGAAGAAATAACTCGTGCCATATCTAATAGATTCCCAACTGTCCTTTACCATAAAAGAGAATGTTGTTGTTGCTGTTGTTTTGTGCCGTCGAGTCTGACCCAATTCATAGCGACCCCTCCTTGGGTTTCCGAGGCAGTATCACTACGGAAGTAGATTGCCCGACCTTCCTTCCGAGGAGTGACTGGTAGGTTTGAGCCGCCAGCCTTCTGGTTAGCAGTCAAGTGCCTTAGGCACTATGCTACCAGAGCTCCCTATAAAAGAGATAGGGCTTCTTAAAATCAGCAATTTAAAATGAGCTTTGATTTAAAATGAGTAACTGTATGACATCAGCTGTTCCTTCAATATATTGAATGTTCTTAAAAAAAAAAAAAATTACAGGTTGGATTATAAGCATGTGCTCAATTTGAGCCACTCTTTGAGCTCAGCATTTTTTGCAGCTCACCTGCCAGGAAGACCAGGGTCTTTGTGTCTGTGCTGAGCCTCAGACTGCTCATGTCTTCTGTCTGGGGACAGTGTAGTCAAATGCCCATCATCTACAAAACCCAGGGGTTAGAGATTCCCCCCTCCCTTGTTCCTTCTCACCTTGTTCAGCCAACACCCGTGAGTGCTGCTGATTTGGGACCTGCTGACTGTCCCAGCAGGGCTAAGGCTTGGTGTTTTTAAGCTGAGGAGTTTTCTCTCCTGTAATTCCCCACTGGGGGCCAAGAAAGTCTGATATCGAAATGGCTCACAAGGCCTTGTGCCAGACATGCTATGTTTTATGTTGAGGTAATTTCAGGGAGGGGAAGGTGGGAAGAGAACCCAGTTAGGCGGAGTGTTCCTAGAGCCACAGCATTATACTTCTGCAAAGTAGTGTCTTACAACTATGCCTAAAGGCTTCTTAAGGCACTCTGGTAGCATAGTGGATAAGGCATTTGGCTGGTAACCAGAAGATCAGTGGTTCAAACCCACCAGCTGCTCTGCGGAAGGAAGATGGGGCAAGCTACCTCCATAAAGATTTACAGCCTCACGATTCCTTCAGAAGTTGGAATTAGAATACCATTTGACCCAGCCATCCCATTACTAGGTATATACCCTAGAGAAGTGAGAGCCATGACAAGAACAGATATATGCACACCGATGTTCATCGCAGCACTATTTACAATAGCCAAAACATGGAAACAACCTAGATGTCCATC